TTATCACTGAAATGCATGAAGCGCATATCGTCTCATATTTATTCCTGGCCATGGAAGCAGAGAACATGGGCACATGATGAATTGGATCTTTTTTGTAATGCCCATGTTGAGGGTTAGGCCCAAAACAGTTTTAAATTCGTAAACTGTAATAGGTTTCTGTCAGTAATCTGGATAGGACCAGAAATGTGTGGACTGACACAGGGAATAGCAGGCTTCAGGAGTGATGTAAAATATAATTTATTGTGAGCTACACCAGTGTATAACAACATACAGTGTAAACAAACCCAAATAACAAAAACCTTCACCCAATATATATATATATATATATATATATATATATATATACACATATATATATATATATATATATATACACATATATATACATACACATATATATATACATACATATATATATATACATATATATACATACACATATATATACATACATATACACACACAGCAATCTAGCGTAGAGGAAGACAGAACACATAGCAGGTAACTGGGGCTCAAGGGCACAATACACCAAGGCACTGATGGCAGGCCTGGTTACTGCTTAAATACACCTCCTGCAATCAGCCTCAGGTGATGGCTTGATTGCAGGAGGTGAGATCCTGGCTGGTGAAAAGCACTCTCTGATAGGGACTGGTACTGCAGCCCACAGAGCAGGTGAGCCACAGCACCACCAGTGGTGAGCCCTTTCCTGACAGTAACCCCCCTTTAAAGAGTGGCCTCAGGACGCTCCGAACAGTCCTTAATGGGCAAAATGTTCCACCGCCTGGGTCAGGTAACTGGTTGGATATCCCACTGCCGGAGTCAAGCGACTGGCTGAGTTTCCTGCTGGTAGACCTATCTTTATGTATGAAAACACATGAAGGCAGGTTGCTGGACACAGGATCTCCAGAAGCAGGCTGGGAATCAGGTATTGGCCAGCTTAGCTGGACCTCAGGGGCTTGCAAATCATGCTGGGCAGCAGGCACCGGGTCGTCGGGCTGAGCAGCAGGCACCGGGTCATCCGGCGGGGCAGCAGGCACCGGGTCATCAGGCAGAGCAGCAAGCACCGGGTCATCTGACTCGAGAGCGGGCACAGGGTCATCAGGCTGGATAGCGGGCACCGGATCATCAGGCTCGACAGCGGGCACCGGGTCATCAGGCTCGACAGCGGGCACCGGGTCATCTGGCTCGACAGCGGGCACCGGGTCATCTGGCTCGACAGCGGGCACCGGGTCATCTGGCTCGACAGCGGGCACCGGGTCATCAGGCTCGACAGCGGGCACCGGGTCATCAGGCTCGACAGCGGGCACCGGGTCATCAGGCTCGACACCGGGTCATCTGGCTCGACAGCGGGCACCGGGTCATCTGGCTCGACAGCGGGCAGAGGCACATCAGGCTGGGCAGCGAGCAGAGGCACATCAGGCTGGGCAGCGAGCAGAGGCACATCAGGCTGGGCAGCGAGCAGAGGCACATCAGGCTGGGCGACAAGCATCAGGTCATCCGGCTGGGCGACAAGCATCAGATCATCCGGCTGAATAGTGGGCATCGGGTCATCAGGCTGGACAGCCGGGCACCGGGCCACCAGGCTGGACAACGGCAGCGGGTCATCAGGCTGGACAACGGGGGTCATCAGGGGACAACGGGCAGCGGGTCATCAGGCTGGACAACGGGCAGCGGGTCATCAGGCTGGACAACGGGCAGCGGGTCATCAGGCTGGACAACGGGCAGCGGGTCATCAGGCTGGACAACGGGCAGCGGGTCATCAGGCTGGACAACGGGCAGCGGGTCATCAGGCTGGATAACGGGCAGCGGGTCATCAGGCTGGATAACGGGCAGCGGGTCATCAGGCTGGACAACGGGCAGCGGGTCATCAGGCTGGACAACGGGCAGCGGGTCATCAGGCTGGATAACGGGCAGCGGGTCATCAGGCTGGATAACGGGCAGCGGGTCATCAGGCTGGATAACGGGCAGCGGGTCATCAGGCTGGATAACGGGCAGCGGGTCATCAGGCTGGATAACGTGCAGCGGGTCATCAGGCTGGATAACGGGCAGCGGGTCATCAGGCTGGATAACGGGCAGCGGGTCATCAGGCTGGATAACGGGCAGCTGGTCATCAGGCTGGACAGCAGGCACTGGGCCACCAAGCAGGACAGCAGGCACCGGGCCACCAGGCTGGACAGCAGGCACCGGGCCAGCAGGCTGGACAGCAGGCACCGGGCCACCAGGCTGGACAGCAGGCACCGGGCCACAGGCTGGACAGCAGGCACCGGGCCAGCAGGCTGGACAGCAGGCACCGGGCCAGCAGGCTGGATAGCAGCACCGGGCCACAGGTGGACAGGGCACCGGGCCAGCAGGCTGGATAGCGGGCATCAAGGCATCAGGCTGGATAGCGGGCATCAAGGCATCAGGCTGGATAGCGAGCATCAAGGCATCAGGCTGGATAGCGAGCATCAAGGCATCAGGCTGGATAGCGAGCATCAAGGCATCAGGCTGGATAGCGAGCATCAAGGCATCAGGCTGGATAGCGAGCATCAAGGCATCAGGCTGGATAGGGGCATCGGGTCATCATTTGGGATAACAGAAGACGGGTTCTCAGACAGCAGGTTGGCCGATTTGGACACTGGCAGGATGGTACTGGTTGGAAAGAATTTTCGCTTCTTCTTGGGTTTAGTTACTGAAGCACTGCAAGTAAATGCAGGGCTGTAAACGGAGGGAGCAGCTGAAGACAGAGAAGAGCTGAAGGATGGAACAGAGAAGGGAGCAGATGCTACAGAGGACTTCTTGATGGGGTTAAAGGCAGGGTAGGTGCAGCGAGTGGGAACAGGGTACTGACATGTGGTTGATAGCAAGGTATACTGGGCTGTAACTGGGGGTGCTGTCGGGAATGCAGGAATAGAGCTTTGAGAAAATTAATTAGAAGCAGGACTGGGTTGTTGCAAGCTGACTGAGGCTGGGTGTAACAAATCTGACCATGTCTGTAGTACTGGTTTAACAAAGCTCAGCTTACACATAGCCTGTCTGACCAAAGACTGCACTGTGTTTATACAATCAATTAGCACATGTTGTGAACATGCTGAATAATGCTCAAAGAAGCAATCCGGATCATCCTCCAACAACCATACCAGTGACTCTACTACTTGTTCTGTACTGAATGGCGGAGAAAAGTCATCCCTGCTTTCAAGGGTACTGGACAGAGCCAACTCAGCACAAGCCTGGATCAATGGCTGCACCTCACTAAACACCGTGCCCTGATCAACTAGGGAATGAGCAACTCGCATGCACTCTAGCAGCTGATCCCTGGCCCACTCCTTCAGAATCTTATAGCAGTATTCTCTATCTTCTATTGCTAGCAGAGACAAGTACACAACCTCCTCAGGATGCATCCTTCACAAACAACAAGCCAAGATGACTTCCCTGTGCAGCCACTTCTGGTCAGCACTGGCCTTGTTGTTATGTCAGTAATCCAGATATGACCAGAAATGTGTGGACTGACACAGGGAATAGCAGGCTTCAGGAGTGATGTAAAATATAATTTATTGTGAGCTACACCAGTGTATAACAACATACAGTGCAAACAAACCCAAATAACAAAAACCTTCACCCAATATATATATATATATATATATATATATATATATACAGCAATCTAGCGTAGAGGAAGACAGAACACGTAGCAGGTAGCAGGGGCTCAAGGTCACAATACACCAAGGCACTGATTGCAGGCCTGGTTACTGCTTAAATACACCTCCTGCAATCAGCCTCAGGTGATGGCTTGATTGCAGGAGGTGAGATCGTGGCTGCTGAAAAGCACTCTCTGGTAGGGACTAGTACTGCAGCCCACAGAGCAGGTGAGCCACAGCACCACCAGTACAACAACTACACCAGTAATGACGGTGATCAGCGACCTATAGCATGAGTGCTATTGTGTGCGAGCAATCTAATGCTAACTGACCTTGACTGGAGGGGTGCTAACTGACCCTGATGCTATTAGACGTTGCTAGTGGCACTAATACAGTGATCAGTGAAAAATATTGTACACTGACACTGTACTAATGGCACTGGCAGGGTGACAGGGCAATCAAAGTTTTAATGTGGCAATCAAGGAATTAAATTTATCTAACATTTGTGGGTGCAATTTGCTGCTTTTACTCACATGTAACGTCTCTTTCTACTCTCTAGTTCCAGGGAGAGAATATCCAGCTAGATCCTGTGCCTATATTTACAAATATAGGCACAACTCCGCTTCTCCATTCGCTGTAGAAGATCAGCAGAGTCCCAGCCAAAAATCACTGGCCGAGACCCGCTGACATGCATCTCCTGCAGCAAATGACAGCAAGGGTAAGCTTGGGTAAGTACAGTACATTGTACAGTGGGCGGGAAGACCAAAAGCGATGAATTGCTCGTGTGTTAACGGCGGTCAAACAGAAGACAGCTAAGGCATGTAAAAAACCTACTATCCAATTTGTTGAACTGAAATCTCACATACATTACTATAAGATTTTAAACAATTTCACGTTATTCGGGACCTTTGGATCACCAACTTTCTGGCTGAGGCGCGCTCCCAGCACAAAGACAGGTACGCAAATATGCGGCCCCACAGAAAAAAGTCCAGTTCTGTGAGGCCGCATATTTGCGTACGTTGGCGTCAAGGGTTAACCATCAAACAACAAAAAATCTTTTTGCCTTCTCCTCATGCTTCTGCCTTGCACCCCCCCCCCCTATTTATTATCTCACAATGTACTACTGTATATCTCCTCTCCTACGCTTACCCTAAATGAAGAGGTCAACAGACACACAGTAGTTCAAATCTCAAAATGACTATACTGTGATCTCTGCCCTTATTACCTTAATCTGACTACTTTTAATGGCTTGTTATGCTTATTGCTACATTGTTTTTATAAAACTGATGACTAGAAAATCTAACAATCTTAGAACATACTTAGACTGTTTTGTATGGCTAGAACAACTAGGTCAAAACATACAGTGGTATGAATTTTTTTTTTTTAAACAAGTAAAAAAAGACTACTTACTACTAGCTTATTTGTTACTTTCGCAGAAACAAATCCAAATGCAAGAATATAAAGGCACGGATGCTTTTCAAAAAGCTGAACAGCAGATTTCTTGTAAATCATCGTTGCTAAAATAATGACTGTGCCAATGTGTAGCATTGGGGACAATACACTGGTTCCCTGAAATAGAAATAAAATCATGAATAGAAGAAGAGAAAAAAACAGCATACATAAATGGAAAATATAGTTTCTCATGCTGATAAAATTCACAACATTATAATACTGGGGCAGAATATACTACAGAACATAACTCAAACTGAAATATGCCCCTGTTGGCTTACAAAATCTTCACACAAAAATGAAACTAAATATACTCCCATTTGCACAATGGGAGGAATAGAACACTGCTGATTTAACATGTGGAGTACCATTCCTGTATACAGACAGAAACGGAAGACAGACAATATACAATGGCGTCCATCGTCCACTGATGTCTCTAGTCTGTATGAGATATGTTCTTCACATCTTATCAGTAATATGAAATGTTGTGTTTACATATTCTTTTAAGTGCCTGCTGTACCATGTACATGTATGAAAAGTATTCTGTTCTCTTTGCGGGAAAACCCTTGCGTTCCTGCCAATCCGTCTGCTTTCCTAATATAAACTGACCCCATTGGGCATTAGAGCACAGCATGGTGCCGAGAATGCATACATTCCTGGTACGTACCTGCTGTACTATGTACTTGTATGAAAAAGTATCTTGTTCTCTTTGTATTGCTTAGTTTGTGTGAAATCCCTGGTGTTCCTGCCAGTCCCTCTGCTTTCCTAATAAAAACTAACCACAGTAGGCATGAGAGCACAGCATAGTCAGTTTTCTGGCTGTGCTGAGAGCTAATCCAATGATCAGGCTTGTGCTGACACACCCCCTCTTCACTGAAATTCACTGGGAAGATCAGTGTACTGCTGTTTTTCTTCCCCCAGCTCCATATGCAGCTGAGAACAAAAGGGTATGTGATCACTTAAAAAAAAAAAAAAAAGATATTTATACTGGTTTTTTTTTATATGTATACATGAATGTTTTGCCTTTCATTTCAATTTTAAACTGAATGGGGTGTTTTACAAGGTGAGGGTTTACATATTCTTTAACTGATTTTCTGCAATCATTTGCCATAAAATGTGATCTGATGCTCAGCTAAGTCACAACAACAATAGACAAACACAGTCCCTGAAATTCATAAAGACTGGCAAAGACCTATTTTGAAAAAAAGGGTCAATCGTGTTTTAAAAGTGGTGAGAATGCTCCAAATTTGTGTATCTGTCTACAAGTCGTATGCTGCACCACTTTTTTAGAATGCACACTTCTGCAAAATCTATCTGCGCAAATTTTTCTCTTTGTACGCCAAAAGAGACTTGGTAATTAGCTTCACTTTTGTAAGATACAAAGCGTTGTTATGTTATTCTGAATTTGGTGCATTCATTGCACCACAATGTAGAAGTGGTGCATTTAGAACAGAGTTGCTGTCTGAACCAAAAGTTCTGCTTTAAAGCTCATTCAAGTCTTTGTAGACTGAAGAATGCATTACTTTATTATATACTTAATTATGAACTTACTGCAATTGTTGATCCATTCTTCCCAACCCCACCGGTAAAGATAACTCGAAAGTAATTGATAGAAGAAAATATGGTGCCAGCAACAGTGCAGAGGGCTGGAGCAAGTTTTACTTGCATGTTCAGCACTGGAATCTTTAACAGGAGAAATACAGAGAAAATGTGGAATAAACAAATCTGCGCCTATTATAGTACCCATGCTATAATTTCAACTTCTTTGAATATTGATAGTCTAAAAAAAAACCCAGAAACTGCAATAATCAGTACTTTACTGCATAACAGGTAACATTATGACAGTATGTGATTTACTGATTTTACTTCACATTGCTAATATACATTAATTATAAAATACCTCACTGTTTAGAATACAGTTAAATGAGTCCACAGAAAGTTAATTTTTGGTTGCAGATAGATAGATACCATCTAAATCTGCCAGTCCATCTTGCACTACCCTCTCCAGACAATGCTGCCTAACAAGGGTGACTCCATTGCTCCTGCGTGAATATAGGAGCAACCCTAAAACAGAAAATGTGTTACTGGTTGGATCACCAGGTAAATATAAAGGAAAAAAAAGAAAACTAATGCAACCTCCACATTTAAAGCCCAAAGCCAGGAAAAACATGGAAATGGAAATAGTGTATTGTGCATCAATTACCTTACTCCTCAATATTGATTCCAAACATTGATTCCTAAACCATCATACAGTATAATAGATTATATTGAGCAATCTACAAGCAAAGCTAAAAATCCTTCCCTGGGGACCAAGCATTCCACTATTAGGAGGTGTGCACATCAAACAGGCAGTGATGTGGACAGACAAGGAAGGACTCCGGGAGGTAAATAAAAGGATCATCATGTGATCGTGACTTCAGTTAAGTATAAATAAGCATTTACATTTTTTTTTCATACCAGCATTTAGTTCCTTAAATCTTGGAGTTGGGCTTTAAAAGCTGCAAGATAGTACATTTTTAATTTTGAGTTTATTATCACTAATGATGTTCAGACATGAGCTTTGTTCTCATGCCAGGGCTACCAAACCAGATTTTACTCCTTCCACAAAAAAAACACAGTGATGGGAAATCTCCACACTGGGGATACTGACAGTTGGCATGATATAAAAAAAATGAAAATAAAATATAGATGGAATTCAACTTTCAGTGACCATGCACACTCTAGTACCTGCCACCAGAAGATATCATAAGCATACTTTTCCAAATGTTTGTCATACTTTTAATTCTGAGCTCAGCAGCGTACCAAAATGTACACCTAGTGCAAAGATTCCATACTTTGGCAAACACGAGTGTAACACAAATAAAACATTCAGTATGCCAACTACAACCGTTTGTGATTGGTGGGGACAGTGGCAGCATGTAAAGTTGGGTGTAGAAAGTAACTGGTTCTTCACACAGTGGTACATATCTCTTTTTATATTCGATGGAATATGGACATATGTTCACCAGTAACACTGCTTCCACAATAGCGTCAGTGGACAGCAATCATGTATCAAAATAAACACAGTTTTGCCTTGAAAATCCTCTCTCCAGAATGTGGCAGCTTACACGACTGAAGATACATGAAAAAATACACTGTATTCACACATACACAATCAAATGAAAATATTTATGGATTCTTGTTAGCAAATGTGAATTGTATTAGAAATTTTAGTATAATTATTTGAATGCAATGATTAAAACATAAAGCAAATTTGTAAAAATAACATCATTCAGATTACCATTGATTGCCACAAATCTGGTCCACCGATCACAGCCAATAAATGCATGATTATTATGAAGATCTGAACTTCAGTCACATCAATTCTGATTTCATGCAAGGAGGCAGAAAAAAAAAAAGAACACTTTTAAATAGTTATTTGCAAATGCTGGTTTTAAACTGTAAAGGTAACTCAGTAAACTATGGTCATTAAACATTTCCAATATTCTAAGTTACAGTTGACTTTGGTTCTGCCATTTCCCATCCTGCCTACTACCTAATAGAGGCGTACCTCGATTTACGAACGCCTTGGTTAACGTAATTTTCGGTTTACGAATGAAAATCCATTGAAAATAATGCCTCGGTTTACAAATTTTGTCCGCAATACGAATGGATTATTTGGTTTTCAATGCATTTACAAATTAATTTTTAATCATGTCCCTGTACAATATTTATGCCTTTAAAGTGCACTTTATAAAGAGTTTTTGAACAGATAAAATACTTTTTTTTTTACTTTTTTCTGACCCCCGGAATGGTTTTCAATGCATTCCTATGGAAAACCGCATTTCAGTTTACAAATTTTTCACAATACGAAAAGTCCCGCAGAACGCATTAAATTCGTAAACCGAGGTACGCCTGTAAATGTTACCAGATACTAAGGCTGGACATACATTATAGAACATTTCTTTACATTTACCAAAACCATTTAATATGAGATAAAAAAGATTTTCCATTTGTATGCAATCAGGCAGGCGCTTGCACTACATAGTTGAAGAAAAATCTCAGGAAATTAAATAAGAAAATTACATAATGTATGGCCAGCTTCACCCATTATTCCCCATTATCTACAGCAGTCTTCAACCAAACCTGACCAGCCTAGTGACTTCCTATTGAAGCAAGTGCAGGTCCTGTGTAAAGAGGCACTGCTCAGGTCAGTAGGCAGCATGGGGGACATGTGGACCTTGAGTCAAGATCTTCTCTGTGCCTGTCTGGATTTGAAGACATGGCATTATTTTCATAAACCCAAAAACATCCTGGAAAAAAAATGTTTTCTACATACTTACCTGTAAAATCCATTTCTTGGAAGACATCACAGGAAACAGAGCAGGCTATTCATAACTATAAGGTTATATGCCACCTATAGCTGAATCAAACTGGCAGATCAAACAAACAGGAAATCCTCCCCTATATAACCCCTCCTACACAGGAAGTACTTCAGTTTTTGTAGCAAGCAATAAAAATCCCGAAAGAGGGGCGGGACCTCTGTGTCCCATGATGTCCACCAAGATATGCATTTTACAGGTAGGTGTAGAAAAAAATCCAATTTTCTTTAACGCACAAAACGGGACACAGAGCAGTCTATTAATGACTATGTGGAATGTCCATAAAGGAATAAAAATATCTGTGGGGTGAGTGACACCATAATAACCACCATCATCAAGTTGCAGCCAAAGGCAGAATCCTCCATGGCTCTGACATCAACCTGGCAAAACCATGTGAATGTATGAACTGAAGACCATGTAGCGACCTTGCAAACCTGAGCCTGATGGCAGACAGCCCAAGATGCCCCCACGTTCCTGGTAGAGTGTGCTCTCACCTAAAAGGGTGGGGCTTTATCCTTAAAACCACGGGTTTAAATGATTAACTGGTGGATCCAATGAGAAATAGTTGATCTGGATGCCACCTGCCCTTTCTGGGCCCCTCTGGCAGCACAAACCAGGATTCCTGACCTGTGCCACCAAATTCAAGTAAATCGTAAGGCAAGACGCTGTCCTGATTCAAGTGAAAACTAGAAACCACTCTAGGCAAGAAAGATGAATGAGGATACAACATCTCACCATGATGCAAGACAAAGAACAGATTCTTAAGTGAAAGAGCCGCTAGCTCTGACACTCGCCCAAGTGATAGTAACCTTTGTGTCAAAGGACTAACGAAGTCTCTCGAATTGGTTCAAAAGTTGGCTTCTGCAAGAATAGCCAAGACCATGTTCAAGCTCCAAGGATACAAGGGTGGCCTAACAGACGGGACTGGCCACATTACACCCTGCACGAAGTACGAATCAAGAGTGAGGTTATGGGAAAAAAAATGGGTATAGTGACTAAATCTGACCCTTAATGGTACCTAAGGCCAATCTTTTTCATGGGTGCCACTTCATGGCTTCACACCAGGCAAATAAGATTTCCAGGTCCTGTAATGGAAGCTCCCTGAAATCAGCTTGCTGGTGCTAACAGTGTGGAGAAAACAGGACCAAAGACCCCAGATCCTTCCAGACCTAGGCTTCAATAGCCAAGCCTTCAATCCTAGCGATCGTAAAACAGGATACAATAAGTCTGGGCAGACCGGAGGTGTTCAAGGAGCATCCCCTACCAGATACGCTATGTCGATGTACCAAAGCCCTCCCAGGCTACCACTATTATCAGTGTTATCTTCTCCCGGATCCTGCGCAAAAAACACAGCAATAGTTGAATTGGGGGAAGGCATAGATTAGGGGAACTGGTGCCCAATGTGTTACCAGTGCATCTACCTCTATTGGCAGTGGGGTAGAATCTGGAAGTCAGTAGATCCACATCCAGAGTTTCCCCAATCCTGGCAGATTGTCGAGAACACTCTCCTGATAACAGCCACTGACCTCTGGGGAAAAGCCAGTTTTCTATACCTGGAATATGTATTGCCGACAGAGACAGACCCAAACAGAATATGGTTTACCTTTTCCTGAACCACACGACTTCTGGTACCACCCTGGTGGTTGCTATACGCCACTGCCATTGCATTGTCAGACCGAACCCTGACCACAAACATGTGCATCTGGTTTGTTTAATAATTCAAAGCATGGAGAACTGCCCAAAATTCCAAATTATTCATCAGCAGTATTCTCTCCTGTGGAGACCAAGTCCCTTAACTGTAGCCACCTCTAAACCAGCCCTCCAACCTGGTTAATAACTGTGGTTACTAAATTCCATATCACTGGAAGGATAATTACCCGTTCTCCAGATTCTGAACAACCACCCACCAATACAGACTGCAATATCCTGGGGTTAAAGCTCTCTGGCTATCCAATGCTTGGACCTTCATAATCCAGACAGACAGAATGTTCCTCTGGAGTGGAACAACCCATAGGAAACTGCTTCAATGTAAATATTATTTCCTCATGCAGAGATATATTGAAAGATACCTTTTGCTTCTTAGATTTTAAACTCGGAATCAACTGCTCCCTGATCAAAGGAACATTAAGGTCTTTTGAGACTGACACCCCCGTGTCCTCAGCAAACCCAGCATCGGGGCTAGGAACTTTCTGAACACTCTGGGGGATGTGGCCAGCCCAAAGGGCACTGCCCCAAACAAAAATGGTGATTCTTTACTGCAAATCACAGAAACCCTTGATAAGCCTGAAATAAATACAAAGATATACGTCATTGAGGATTATGGACATCCGAAATCTCTCACTTGCAGAGTGGCCACCACTGATCAGACTGATCTTATGTATAGTGCCTTGAGATCTAAAATAGACCTCACATCCCTGTTTGGTTTTGGGCCTATGAACCTGTCAAGTGTCTCGAATCACCTCAGAGACTGCCCTAACATCCTCTGCCTGAGATTCCTCTCTAAACACAGCTGTTTCAGACTCTGGAGGGGAAATGCTTACAGCAACTGCTATTCTCAGGCAGTCTCCCCACCAAGTAATAACCTGGGTGGGCTGAGCTGGGAATTTTTTTCTTTTGTTGTTTGAGCTGGGCGGGCTGACCCTGCTTAGCTTGCGAGTTCAGATGAGACAGGTGCATTCATTCAGTGTGATGCAGCCGCAGTCCATTGCACTTGCGCCACCAGGAATAGCTGCAATGCCAGACAAATCCAGTGGCCCAGATACACCTGACAATACTGGTCTACCGTGAAATGCGAACACGCTGTGTTTTGAGAGGCATCACAGGCAGAGGATGCTAGGGCAGTCTTTGAGCTTGGATCCCCCCCCCCCCCCACTCCCGAGTCCACGGCACCAAAGGGGCGGTGCGCACCTGCCTCTTGGCTGCCTCCCACTTTCAGGACCATTTAAGTCACCAATGTAGCAACTATATTGCCACCTAACTATGCAGTCCCGCAGGGATGCAGGTCCATAGCCATGTTGGTCTACAGCTATGCAAACACGTAGGCATGCAAGCATGCAGATATGTAAGTACAGTACACAGGTATGTAATTATGTAGGTACAGAAGTATGCAGTTATACAAGTATGCATTTAGTTAAGCAGTTTATGCAAATATAAGTATGCAGTCTATGCAAGTAAAAAAATGCAGTCTATGCAAGTATGAATTTAAGTATGCATGTACGTACAGCATCTCACATAGAGTGAGTGAGTACACCCCTCACATTTTTGTAAATATTTTATTATATCTTTTCCTGTGACAACACTGAAGAAATGACACTTTGCTACAATGTAAAAGTAGTGAGTGTACAGCATGCATGACAGTGTAAATTTTCTGTCCCCTCAAAATAACTCAACACACAGCCATTAATGTCTAAACCGCTGGCAACAAGAGTGAGTACACCACTAAGTGAAAATGTCCAAATTGGGCCCAATTAGCCATTTTCCCTCCGGTTGTCAGGTGACTCGTTAGTGTTACAAGGTCTTAGGTGTGAATGGGGAGCAGGTGTGTTAAATTTGGTGTTATCACTCTCACGCTCTCATACTGGTCACTGGAAGTTCAACATGGCACCTCATGGCAAAGAGCTCTCTGAGGATCTGAAAAAAAAAAGAATTGTTGCTCTACATAAGGATTGGCTAGGCTATAAGAGGATTGCCAAGACCCTGAAACTGAGCTGCAGCACGGTGGCCAAGACCATACAATGGTTTAACAGGTCAGGTTCCACTAAGAACAGGCCTCACCATGGTCAACCAAAAAAGTTGAGTGCACGTGCTCAGCATTGCTACAGAGGTTAAAAGGGTGGGGGGGGGGGGGGTCAGCCTGTCAGTGCTCAGACCATACACCACACACTGCATCAAATTGGTCTGCATGGCTGTCGTCCCAAAAGGAAGCCTTTTCTAAAGTTGATGCGCAAGAAAGCCTGCAAACAGTTTGCTGAAGACAAGCAGACTAAGGGCATGGATTACTGGAA